GAGCCACCGTCTCCGCTGCTGCTATGCACTATTCCCATCCTACCAGCTAGCCCCCTCTAAGTCAGGCCCTGTGCGAGATACGCAGCATGGACCCAACTCAGACTGCGGGTAGTTGGGCACGAGTAACTGTCGGTGGCCCTAGGCCTGATTCATTTGGACTGAGGCTCAGCCTCACTGGGCCTACCGGAAGCTTCTAGGCAGGAACCCAGCGCAGCCAGGCTGCACGCAAGGCAGGCAGGCCACTTCCATTTAGGAAAAGGGCCTGCCCACGCATTGGACATTCGGGCACTGGCTGCATGCTGCGCAAGCGCTGCTGCGCAAACGCTGGCCAGCGCTCACGCGCTCACGGGCGAGCTGGAAGGAGCAGGCAGTCATAGCCGAGCTGCACTGCTGTATGCTGGATGGGGCGCATGGTGGTCCTTTCGAGGTCACAACTATCTGGTCTCGTGTGTATGATGCTGTTTGATTTCTAAAGTTCACTATTGCTCATCTTCCTTGCAATTTGGTATCGGAGCTGTGGTACGGTGCGCTCATCTGGCGCTTGTCTTCTGCCTTTGTGGTACATGCACGCGGTCTGCTGAGCAAGCGGCCGTGGGAGGTGTGTAGTGAGGAGGGTGGAGACAAGTGTGGCGACCCAGGAGGTGAAGGGTATCGCCAGGAAGGCTACTAAGTGGTGAATATTGGGTGTTCGCAATGTGATGAGAACTATCCGATGTGTGATTGATGCTGAGGTGGAATGGTGGTGCAATGCTGGTTGTGCCGAAGCAGCGATTGGTCATCACAATCAGCGTCGGTTTATCTGGTGAGAATATCTGTGGTTGGGGGCAGCTATTTTGAGGTATGTTGCACCTAACCTTATCTACCCTCTTTGACACTTCTTACCATGAGGATGTGTGTTCTGTCTTGAGAGTCCTCTCATGTGAGGAGTCATGTGTGCTCAACCTTGAGAGTCGTCAGTCTTCACGTGGAGCATCTGGAAGGAGAGGGCGGTGCTATCTGAAGGCCCCTGGACAAAGCACTGGGTCACTGTCACCATGCCAACCCACCAGGAGTAGAGCACGCATGCTTTGCTGCTTTGTCGTTTGTCTGCTCGCTGCGCTGTAGAGGGGTTCTGAAGGGCAGGCCAGCCCTATGGAACAGACGAGACCGGGCGTCTATAAAGAAGCACCGACGGGGTACCTTCCATTGGCTGTGATTGTCGTCCTGTTTGCGACGTTAAATAATTCCTGAGGACTTTGGGGGCCTTCCATAAAAACGCCTCCTGATCAGCCAATTCGTCGGTGTAAGGCTCGCTGCACGAGAGGATAAAGACTGTGCGGGGCTGGCCAGCTCAGCAGGATTCGGGGCACAGGGGTGGGCCGTGTGCACACCTTTAGACACACACACTGTTCCGGATTGCTCAGGGACATTGACAACAAGAGGACGCCTCCTGATCAGCCAATTCGTCGGTGTAAGGCTCGCTGCACGAGAGGATAAAGACTGTGCAGGGCTGGCCAGCTCAGCAGGACTCGGGGCACAGGGGTGGGCCGTGTGCACACCTTTAGACACACATGCTGTTCCAGATTGCTCAGGAACGTTGACAACAAGAGACATTCAGGAAGAACTGAGGAAGGGGTAGATTCCAGGTGATAAGTTTGGGAAAGATTCCACTCTGCAAACAGACCCAACAGATGATTCTATTTTATTTTGACTAGTTAGATGTACAACCATTAACATCTGACAGACAGCATAGTTAGAACTGTTATCTGTTCATTGTGCTTTCTGTTTGCGGACTAGTCAAAGTAAAATAGTTTTCATTTGTAGGAATCTGAACTTACCTGTTGGACCCAAATGTATCTACTCTTACGCAGCCACCGAGTAATGTAATCGGTCTGTGCAGTACGCTGCAGTGGGTATCAAAGAGTGACCTAGTGCAGATTGTGTACAACTCTGTAGCTTATGAGCAATAGGAATACCGCTAGTGAGGACGACCAGATCTTGTGATTGGCTAGACGCCCCATTGCCAATGTGGCATTAGGACCCGAGGGTGATAGGTTGCTGTTCCGCCAGCTTAGGGAGACAGCAGCAGCAGCGGAGAGCTAGGGCAGCAGAGGCCATTCGCAAGTGAAGACGCTGCTTCAGCAGCCATGGCAACTGCTGCGCAGCAGAGTTCCCAGGCCAGCAGTTCAGGGGCCGTAGGGTCGACGGTCGCGCAGACCCTGAGTCAGTCCACTGGCGTCATGGCAAGCCAGCCTATAGTGTTGACTTCCGATGAGATTGCCATACAGCAAGCAGCACTGCAGGAGGCACAGCTACAGAGGGCCTTAGGAGAGAGAAAAGCGGAGAACGAAAGAATGATTAGAAGAAGAGCCATGATGCAGCGGAGACAAGCAGACGTCAGTGAGTTAGGGGGACTGGACCTGACGCACATGGATGCAGATGTGAGGACACTCCGGACAACCCTGCTAGGTGTTGTAGAGATGCAGGACCACCACACGGCTGTCATTCAGGACATCCAGCAGAGTCTAGCCTTGCTGGTCGGGCAAGCGCAGGCAGCGCCATCGCTCTCCGGGCCCACTGCCTGGCCCGTTGTACAACCTCCTTATGTCCCACCGGTGACTGGGGTATCCCCATATGTCTCCCCAGCATCGGTCCAAACCGTTTCCCTAGGTATGCCGTTAGCAGGCGGGTTCTCAGCAGGTCCAAGTGTGCAGATTCCTGTACAGACAGTGTTTTCCCAACCTCCGTCACAGGTTGCCGTAAGCGGGCAGCCTGTTGTCTCGCACCTTGTACAGCCGCAGGGTACACAGCCCCAGCAGCAGCTAATGCAGCAGCCTGCACCACAGGGTCCACAGCCCGAAATGGTGCAAGTACCGGGACAAAGTCAGTGGGTACCAAAGACGGCCATCGCCGCTCCTAAACCCTTTACAGGGCATAAGAGGAGCGAACACCTCGACACATGGTTGAGGGCAGTGCCAGTCTATGTTAAGTGTAAACTTACCGTGCCGCACGAGGAAGTGCTTGTGGCTGCCTCCTATTTAGAGGGGAGTGCAGCAAGATGGTTGAGTGGTTTAGTGCAGTTGCAGGGATATGGTCATGACTTCCGCGCTTGGGCAGTCCGCTTGGGCAGTCAACCAGAAACTGGAAGGCGAAGTTGGTGGAAGACAGGTGGCATGATCCTCAGGAGGCTCAAAAGACCACTGACGCAATCCTGACTCTGCATACCAGACAGTTTAAGTCAGTAAGAGAGGCAACAGACGCAGCAAAGCGTCTGATTTGTGTCCCTGGGGTGCGCTATGACCCCCAGGTTCTACTCACCTCCTACCTGAGATGTTTTTTTATGCCTCTCAGGAATCAGTTGGCAGGTGAGGCCAACATCAATATGCACAACTTCCCCTCGTTTAGCAAGAAGGTCCTAGACCTTGAAGCAAAAATAGGGCATGGTCAAACGCCCACGACGGATGGTAGGAAAAAGTCACTGCCTCCCAACTGGAAGGCGAAGGGACGCATTATGTTCGTCGACAACAATGGTTCTACCATCGAGTTGGATGGACGACTTCCAGGCGCGAGTGGGTTCAGAGGCTGGCAGCGTAGAAGTTTCAAGGGATTGAGTAATCGCTGCCGTAGCTCAAAAAGGTAAGGCGTCCGGTAGACGTCGAGGAGGTTCCCGGTCCAGGAGTCAAGTAGACCCCAATGCTCCTCCATGGGAGAAAGCGGGTCTCAGTGAGGACGTGTGGAGAGATAGGTACACGCGGCAAGCTTGTATCCGTTGTGGCCAATATGGCCATAACCAATTCAAGTGCCGCAATAAGAAGGTGACCGAGAAGATCCCGCCTACGATGGGGGCAGGCGTTGGGATCCTCCGCTCTCGTTGGTAGCAATGTGGCCAGCAGTTCTGGCACCGCTCCAGGAAACACGTCGGGCCAGTAGGAATAGTAGTTGTTCCTGCTAGGGTCGAGGTGGTGGACACACCCTCACCATCTCAAGAGATGGCCCAAGTTATTAACTCCATCGTCGTCCCAAAACACATTCAGACCCATTGAGCCTTTGTTCGATGAATGTGTTCGAGTCCTTAGAGGAGGAGTGGTCTGGATCAGACCCGCTAGCTTCTTGGACGGCATTGGCAAAAGCCCCTAAGGGTGAGATGTTCATCAGTGAGGTAGTCATCGGCGGCCGCAAGGCCGGGGCCTATTATGACACTTGCTCCACTAGGAACTTCATTAATCACGTGTGCGTTGAAAGGTTGCGCTTACAAGGGCAAGTGCAGCGTCTGAGTCGACCTGTGGAGTCGACCTGTGCCAACAAACAATGCAAGGTAGTCAACGACTACCTTCACGACATTGAGTGTCTTTTCCCGTACGCGGGAGGGGAACTGAGACATCTCGTCTCGTTCCTAGTGAGCGATGATCTCCCTACGGATATCTTGTTAGATATGTACTACCTTTCCCGTATGCACAGCCCCAGTTTGATTGGGACTGAAAAGTGGTCAAACACACTTTGCCAGGTGGGGGAACCGCCAGATTACGTAAGTTCAAAGCTAGTAGTCTGATTGAGTCCTACGGATGCATGTGTGCGGCCGCGTTCCATAACTATTATAAGCAATATCTGAAGGAGGGTATGTATCTAGTCTACGTCTCAGTAGTAGGCGAGCCGATGTAAATGTCGTCGGAGATAGAGGGAGTAGTTGCTAGTACCCTGATCTATTTGAAGAGCCGACAGGGGTTGTCGAGAGGGAGGTCGTCCACGCGATAAAGATTATCCCAGGGTCTAGCATCCCGAAGGGTGGGATCTATCGGATGTCTCCAGGCGAGCTTGACGAGCTTCGTCAGCAGCTCAAGGAACTCGTAGAGAAGGGTTGGATCCGGTCGAGTGTCTCCCCTTTCGGATCACCAGTTTTATTTGTGCCAAAGAAGGGGGGTACTCTGAGGATGTGCATTGACTATAGGGGTCTCAATACCATCACTATTAAGAATTTAGAGCCCCTACCGCGTATCGACGATTTGCTAGATAGAGTGCAAGGTCCGGATTGCAATACAGCCCAAGGATTAGCATAAAACCGCTTTTCAGACCAGGTACAACCTGTACGAGTTTGTGGTGATGCCTTTCGGCTTTGCAATGCTCCTGGCACCTTTCAGCACTCTATGAATCGGATCTTTCATGACGACCGGGATAAGTTTGTTATTGTGTACCTCGATGACATACTTATTTTTAGTAGGACTGTCGAGAAGCATGTTGCACACTTAGACAAAGTCCTCAGTCTCCTTCCGCAGCACAAGTTCAAGATCAAGGCGGAGAAATGCGAGTTTGGCCGCACCCGGATCTTGTACTTGGGTCATGAGATTTTCGCGGAGGGTTTGAAGCCCGATGACGTGAAGGTGGCCAGCATTCGTGACTGGCGGAAGCCTGAGTTTGTGCTTGCGGATGATGTCACTCGCTCTTTGGTGGAAGCCTATTGCGAGGACCAGTCCATGTCTGAGATCATACGCAGACTCGAGGCGAAGGACAAGGTGACTTCTCTCGAGTTTGAGTTGGTCAACGGCTTGCTGTTCCTTGGGAAGGCCGGGAATAAACATTTATGTGTGCCTAATAAAGAGTCTTTGCGTAGTTTATTTTTAGGCGAGAGTCGCGATGCCCCGGGACATTTTGGTTTCAAGAAGACTGCAGCCAATCTGTTGCAGCGGTTCTGGTGGCCCACGATGATGAGAGATGCCAAACTGTATGTCGAGACTTGTCAAGTTTGTCAACGTGACAAGCCCCGGACACAGGCTCCTCTTGGGCTGCTCAAGCCCCTTCCCATTCCGAAAAGCCTGTCCATGGACTTCATGGATACGCTAGTCACCAGCAAGAGTGGCATGAGGTACATCTACGTCATCGTGGGTAGATTTAGTAAGTATGCTAGGTTAGTGGCCATGCCGGAAACAGCAAAGACCGAGTACGTTATCAAGCTATTTAAGGAGAACTGGGTCAGAGACTTTGGCTTGCCGAAGTCTACAATCAGTGACAGGGATGTCCTATTCACCAGTGAACTGGAAGTCCGCAGCTGCCGAACAAGGAAGGCAGCTGCAGATGACATCTGGAAACCATCCAGAGGCAAATGGACAGGCAGAGAAAATGAACCGCGCTGTTCAACACTTGTTAAGGCACTACATTAAGCCTAACCAAGTGGACAGGGATGAGAAGCTTGCTCTCATCACCAGCCTGACAACAACGCAGTTCATAATGCCACGGGAGTAAGTGCTAACAGCCTACTTCTAACATTCAAACCCAGACTCCCCCTTGACTTTCTGCTACCTGAGAACCAGCCTACTGCTGCTCCAGGCACTTTGGACTCGCTTATAGATATGAGAGTCATATGCAGCAGGCAGTAGAACACATGCATAAGGCACAGGCCGCAATGATCGAATCTGAGAACAAGCACCGCCACCCATCTCTGTTTCAGGTAGGGGACAGGGTCTGGGTCAAGGCTTCAAAACTCGGACAGGAGCACGGGATTTCCCATAAGCTCATGCCACAGTACTTTGGACCATGTGAGGTTTTGGATGTAGTTGGGGATGAACAAGACGGACCCTCATATGCCATTCGGATCCCTGGACGCCTGCCTCTAAGCTTGCACCATTCAAGGAAACTGACCAGTTCCCTTCGTGACGCTCAATGCTACCCCCAACCATGGCTGGAGAGGTCAACATTGATGAAATCGTGGATCACAGAGAGATGCCAGTTCCAAGACCGACTGGCAGGGGACGTCCTCCGAAACCGAAGCTGCAGTATCACATTCGGTTCAGGCATCACACTGATCCTGAGGAGGATAGATGGTTTACACGGGAGGAATTGATGCAGACCGCTCCGCAGGTTGTCGCCCACTACGAGAAGTTACTGCAGAAAGGAAAGCGCCAGATTGACTAAACTTCTCAGAGGACTAGCGAAGTATGGAGGAGGGAATGCGAGGCACACGGCCTCAATAAGCCCTACCGGGCCCCTATTTGCAACAGGTCGGCCGCCCTAAGTGAAGGCGGGCTCGACAGATGACAAGAGGCCTACTGTGGACTACTTCGCAACTGGGGGAAAATTCAGGCAGTTGCGCAGCACCAGTTGGTTGAAGGCGCCCAGGCTCTGGCCTCCTTTATCAAATGTATCTAAGTCAGACCCTGGGCAAGATACGCAGCATGGACCCAACTCAGGCCGCGGGTAGTTGGGCACGAGTAACTGTCGGTGGCCCTGGGCCTGATTCGTTTGGACTGAGGCTCAGCCTCCCCTGGCCTACTGGAAGCTTCTGGGCAGGAACCCAGTGCAGCCAGGCTGCACGCAAGGCAGGCCGGCCACTTCCATTTAGGAAAGCGCCTGCCCACGCATTGGACATTCGGGCACTGCCTGCATGCTGCGCAAGCGCTGCTGCGCTAACGCTAGCCAGCACTCACGCGCTCACGGGCGAGCTGGAAGGAGCAGGCAGCCATAGCCGAGCTGTGCTGCTGTATGCTGGATGGGGCGCATGGTGGTCCTTGGGTGCATGTGGCATCTGTGAGTTGGGGAACGAGATACATACCTGGTTCTTGAAACGTGCGGCATTGGCCGAGATCTGCTCGTACTTCGGGGAGCTGTTGACGTCATCAGCGGCATTGTAGATAGGCTAGATAGGACCTGCCATTTGTAGTCTGGGCGCCGAGCGCCAGATAGGATATCGACATTGGTTCTTCGTTGATGATGATGAGACTATTCCAGCATCGTCAATTATGCGCGTTTGCTGTGCTCTTATTTGGTGAAAGTCGTGATGCAATTCTGTTATTGGTTCGAGGTCACGACTATCTGGTCTCGTGTGTATGATGCTGTTTGATTTCTGAAGTTCGCTATTGCTCATCTTCCTTGCATTCAGGCTTCAGCAAAAAAAAATAATAATAATAATAATTGCAATCAATGCTCTTCCAGTTTCGAGGACCACTCCAACGGCCCCTACACTGTTCGTTTTTCTTGTCTGCGAGTACGGGCCCAAAATCTTCAGTGCCCAGGCCCAGTACCAGAATTATTTCCCCTCAGAGCTGCACACTGTACGTCTCGGGCTCGGGGAAATGAAACTTTTGGTTTGTAAAAATAGGCCCGAACGGAGCGACAACGATTGACGCCCTGACGCTCTCTCCAGAGCGCCGCCGTCTGTCTCACCTTTACTGCTTGTGTTGTGGTTGATGACAATCATTCTCAGACTGCCAGTCGGCTCGTTTTCTCCCATTGCGTAACCCTGTTAGATTTCCCCCCTTCTCTATTCCTCGTTATGCTTATATATCGTCACAAATAGAACTGCCCGGTAAACCGTAGGCAGAGAGAGAGAAGAGGACAACAAACGAGGGGCTGTGACAAACTGTTTCGTCGGAGTTTCACCAACTCATCAGGAGGCTGAACCCTCGTTATGCTTACATATATATAGATTGAGGATTAGCGTTCGACTTCATGTTCGTGTCATCATCTCAGAACTTACCAGCTTTTCACCGAGCATGCAAAACAGTTGGAAGTCCGAAGGTATGGAGAAGACTCTGCAGTCATGACGATGGACGCCTACATTCACAAAAAAAAAAAAACACTTTTTCAAACTGTGACATGACTAATCCCAAATGAAGGGTCTTTTCAAATGCAGACCACATCGCAGCGATGCGACTGTACAATGACAAATTTGAAATTACAGCGATTGTGACGCATTCCCACAGCGTCCATGATGCAGCAGACAAGGACTTCAGCTCAAGGATGATGATTTCGGAGAGCGCTGGCGTCTCTTCACCAGAACAGAACGCCCGGTTGTCATTATACCTGTATTTGGGACAACTTTCCGCCCAGATGCAGCCATAATGACCGTGCATTCTTTTTTTCTTAGAAAGGGCGACGGCCTTACGCTATCATCGTCGAACACGACTGGTCCCATGTCCTTTAGAGTGAATTCCTTTAGAGTAAATTTGTTATGTTCATCTGACCGGATTCAAACTTGAGTCTGTACTTGAACAGTTCGTGGGTGTACCGACTGGGCTAGGCCTGTTGGCATTCTATACGGGAGACGGGGGAAGGAGGTACAGGAGTCGAGAAGGTCTAGTGTGAGAGGAGGGTGGGCAAAGTGGGGAAGAGAACGAAGGGTGAGGGAAGGAGAGACCAAGCTCGGCATTAAAGTCAACAATACACAAGCTCAGCATTTTATTCAACAACGACGTAAAGCGAGGAGGGAAGATAAAGAAATAGGAGGAGAGGGAGAACGTAACGGGGGCACAAGCAGCCAGCCGCGGGTCTGCAAGAGGGGGATGCTCATATCAACCCCTCTAGCAGACCAGGAAAGGATTTCTGAGAAGAACAAAAAGACAAGGGTGGGACAAGATAATACAACCGACAAGACGCAACACCGCTTGCAGGGACAGGCAGGGTCCATCATGTAGAACTACACTGAGCCATAGAAATGTCTGTAAACAGAAGGCAAGAGAGAGTACATGGAGCTTGAGAGATTACTTACGGAGGAGTTCTTGGAAGGTAGGGCGTACGTGGGGACCACACAAGCGAGGCGGAACACTTTAGCATCACATTATTATTCAACCCACTTACTCCGCCGGTGCATTACCATATAAAACCAACTTCCCAACTGTCAAAACACCGCAGCCAATTCCTTGCAGCAGCACGCCCGCCACCAGGCCCGGCACTGCAGTAAACAGCAGGCATCATTCTCTCCCGCATTCAAAGATGCGGGCACTCCCTGCCTGCGAGCGCAGATTCTCAGACATTATATCTGTCCTTGACCACAGCTCCTACTAACCAGCTTTCTCTCAGATAAGCGGCGGCAGGAGAACCTCTAGTTATCAACACCCTCCACTCTCCCGCCCTTCCGTCTTTTGCCCCTCCCCTCCCCTCCCACACGCATGCGCGCGTGCGCACACACACACACACACACACACACACACACCAGTACCCACACCCACACATGCAGGCAGGCACATGTAAAAACGATTCAAATGAAGCGTATTAAGCCGTCAAAATTAAGACCATGGTTCTGCCTCTAAATTCGGCAAAAATACATGGATGTCGAAACGCCACTAGCCTTATTTGTTTCTCAGCATCATCCTCTCCCTTTATTGTTCCTCTCAATCATAATCTCCCCCTCCAATACGTATTTTCCAACCACCAATGTTCGTGGTCCAACAAAATAGCTGCATCAATGCACTCTGATAGCTCTCTCTCTCTCTCTCTCTCTCTCTCTCTCTCTCTCTCTCTCTCTCTCTCTCTCTCTCTCTCTC